ATGATCGATTACTGCAATTTTTGCGTTTTCTAACCTTTTTTCTCCTCGATTGATGATCATTTTCTGCAATTTTTGCGATTTCTCACTTTCTCTCTCCTCAATGGATGATTGATAGCTGCGTTTTCTCACTTTCTCTCTCCTCCATTGTTGTTCTGCGTTTTTTTTTTTATTTTTAGGTATTTGAAATTCTGCGATTTTTTTTTTTAAAAAAAAGCACGTGCGAAAACCCGATGTACAGTAAAAATACTGTACACCGGGTACATGCAAATGGGATTGTTAATTAAAAGGATTTTTTACAGTAGCTTATAAGTTGAGCTTGGCAGCGCAAGCTTACCTAAGTGGGGGGCATTAAAGTGGTGGAACAAATGGAAGTTTAAGAGCACCTGTGTTCAGGTAAGGGCAGTAGATAATTCAATGTACGAATGAAACTTAGCTGCTGGCTAACACTTGCAGTGCCGTAGGGCAAACCCAATCATCCATATTTACGTTTTAGCTTCATTATTATTCGGATGTAGGCATGTAGCTAATTCTATAGCATTGTTACTCCGTATTTCACTTGATATGATCATTACCTTTTTGTAATTTATCTTAACTTATTAGCACTCCACCTAAGAAGTAAGAACTAGGTTCCAATGCTTTTTATCCGTAATTAAGTGGACATTACTTTGCTTACTACTGTACGGATTGAGGAGGTAGGTTGATCTATATCTAGGCTATGAGCTTATGATGAAAACAGTTGCATATGTTAGACTGTTAGTCTACCTCTACTTCTTTAAACGCATAACATTTCTTTTAACTTTCTTATTCATACAATTATCTTTTGCACTAGGCAATTTGTATAAATATGGACTTTCTAGTATGATTAATTAATGTATGATATATTGATATGAATACTTAAATGTCTGATTGTTAATAGAAATAAGAAGATGGGTTCTAGTTTGACATCAACATTGTGGAAAGCTTCAAAATTCAATTGTTTTATTTTGTGGAGTATGTAATAATACTAAAATAGTAAGTTTTTATACCTAAACTATAGTACGGCAATACAAGTATGTTGGACAAAAATAAACGACAGTAGTTGGACTAATTCTGCTGTCCAATATGCCTCTAACGTATGTTAATACCACTGATACTAAAATGTTAAAATTCTGGTGAGTGTATGATGATTACGGCCAGTATTACTTGTGAGAAAGAGCCACAAAGACCAAAGAACAGATGATGTGGACGAGAATTGATTCAAATAAAATACGGAGTATAAATTAATTGACATAAAAGGTTGTGGTTTATTGATTGATATTATATTGGTTGAATCACCATTGTATAATTTGTGGTTAAATTGTTCACTTAGCATCATGCAAGCTGTCACACCCAGCACACTATGCATAATTAAACAAATAAATATTAATAAATTGTTGATGAAAAAAAATATTACAAGTAAATACGAAGATATATACTTCATGAAAAAAAGTCAAATAGTAATGTTTACGTGTTTGTTATAACTAGGCTAAGCCACCCTTATTATAAAAATAATATCTATACGCTGACTTGTATATGTGCATGCTGTAATGCACGTCGTTAATAATCTAGGCATGAAATGTCTCCTTAGTGGTGGTTCTGACCCTTTATCATTAATACTCCGTAATAGTTTATCATTGATTTAGCTGTTTAATTTAATTAAGTTGTTTTTAAGGTTTTATAGTTAATGAAGTGTAGTTGATAAGTTGTTTTTTTAAGGCTTTGAAAGTTCAAATTATGCAACCGTGTAGTACTGACTTGGCCATCGATAATTCTCCTGGCATGCACGTAGCGAACGGGAATTTTGTACGTACACATCAATCTTTCTTTTGGGCTGCTAGACCTGGTAATACACGTACCTAGATGAAAACCGCCACGTTACTGGTGATCCCGATTAATCATAAACTATTAATAATTTTAGATGAATGTTTAGTTTACTAATCTAATACCAAGTACGGAGTATGTGTTTATTTTAATAATAATAAAATAACCGAGTATGTGTTATACCTTAAGTACGTATGTGTATGTAGTATATGTAACTGCACGAAAAAGAATTACTTATGTGTGCTTAGCTTGTTCTTTTCTCCGGCTTTAACAAATTGTTCTTTCTGTCCGATCCTAACTTTATGTGTTCACTTATTTATGGCACATAGTTTTTATTTTGAGAGATAATTTTGATTATCAACTGTTAGTTGTTTAAAAACATAGAGAAGGGGGATTGGTAGAATTTGTTATATACACTCGGGTGCGTTGTGTACCCAACTAACTCAAGGTTAGTTTTTGCTCTTCATTTAATAATTAAATGAAAAACAATCATTGAAATGAGAATAAAATACTCATGGGTGTACGGTATACCCGGATGTATATAACAATTTCTCAGGGGTTGGTACTCTAAATAAAGTTAACTAATATGTGACGGACGGAGCTAGGATCAAAGCATGGATCAGTGGCGGTTGCTTCCATCTCTTCTTTGGGTTTCTTGGGATTAATTCTTAAATAGGGTGGTATGGGTAGGGTTTTATATTACTCGGGCTTCGATATCAAATGTTAGTAGTATTCTCTTCGTCTATATTTAATTTAATTGGAATGTCTGAGAAAGTAAAAAGTCAAAGTAAGAAGAATACATAGGTACAAAGGGGTTGTTTACATTGCCAAAATTTATATTTCGGATAATCAGACACATATTGATAGTAGCTCGATTAAGTCCCACACGTTAGAACGGTTAGTGGAAATGGAATAATACTACCAATTTGTGTTTATAATACTCCGTAATACTTTAAAATTACGTCAATAGAATAACTTAGGAAGTATGATCATACAACTAAATTATGACAACGATGGAATGCTTCTTCGTGCATGTTCCTTGCAATTATAGTACCCTTGCTCTCAAATTCAATATAGAAAAAAGGGCATGAAGAGAGAAATTATTTTTTCACGAGACATAAGTCTTGATGAGTCTGAAATTATGTGTTGGTAAATACACGAAACGTCGAAACCCTTTTTTTTAATGACATGTATGTATGAATTATATATAAAGTTCACCAACTTAGGAAATTTTTAAGTGGATACGTTCTTCAAACTCATCTTATGCAATTTGCGTAGAAATTATGTGTAGGCATTAATTTACACTGTATAGTAGGGAGTTGTCTTGCCTGGTGGCACAACCATTTTGTACGAATGAATGAGAAATCTACTATGTTTTAAAACTTATTAGGAGACGTCGAAACTCCAATCTTCGAGGCTTCGAATGGTTGGATAGACAGTAACTGTTCTAAGGTATTCGGTCGTTAGTGTTTAGGGCCCTGATTAAATAAAGATTCAGACCAAATCAAATATTAATCATAAATCTATTGTATTATTAGTTCCATGTAGACTAGTCCACAAACATATGTATGTTGCTCTGTTAAAGATTACACTAAAAAAACCTATGAACTAATTAAGAAGACAAATTTCTCTATGTTTGTTGGCCTACTCATTTTACTGATTATAGAAGCAAAACCAAAATTAGCTAATTTTTATTCATACGGCAAACTTTCTTTTACATTATTGCTTGCTTATTACGAAGTTAATGGTTGTCCATAAATTTGAGTATTTCAACAAATAGCTCCAAATTTCCAATTAAAGTTGTTTGATGTGAGCTGTATGTATAGACTATGGTTGTAAAATTACTGTATGTAATGGAAATGGATAGATGAGTTTGGCATAACCTCAGACACTTGAACTTGAACTTGCCTAAAACTAGCACAACAAACAAACGCAATTTCTTTTGTAACGCCAACACGATTTTGTCGTGAATGGTACATTCTTGTACGAATGGAGTATAAGATATCGAAATTTAGGGAACATGTAAACCATTATGGAAACAAGAGAGAATTAGAAGAGGAGATAAAACATGTTATTAATTGCCAAGAATATAATCCTCCTACAATCAATGTGACCATATAGTGCAATCCTGTCTCCAATTAGGCAATTAACCATGGAGACATACTAATGTTTCTGAAACCTGATATTTACGCCTCAGCTCGTTGTCACCTAAATTATAACTCCGATCCTTTCGTTACCCTTAGCTTTCCGCTGTTACTGGTTGAGTGTTAAATCCTGCATCGATGTACACAGTTTCGAATCCCTTGATGACATCCAGGAACGCGATTTGAACAATATGAGTCTGTACGAGTGTACTACATACCTCCCCAACGGGGTGCAGATTGTGACATTACCCTTTAGTCCATACTGTAATAGTTACATCTCACTTAAAGTGAAATGAAAACGACCAGCCATATAATTTTGTGCAATACATAACACTAACAAATTTGAGTGGACTAATTATTTAAGATGGAGGATCGAGTAGAAAGCAACAATACAATGTCCAAAATTAGCTACTCAACTTGATCGATTTGCAACACTAATTTCTGCTACTCAACTTGATCATCAAATTTGACATCAATAAAGTACTATTGCACCTAAATATCACGTGTGCTAAGCTTCTTGCCAACTAACAGTCGAACATGAGTTTCAACCCAACTAAAGACTGTCTGTATATCTTTAATTAGTCTTTAGTATTGCGTAATTAATTAAACTCTTAATCTTTTTTCAACATCGGATTCATTTCATTATCGAGTCCTTAGTAGTGAAATTACTTGTTTAAAAAAGATGTTCATCGATAAGACATTAAGGAATAAGATAAGCCATAAGCCTTAACACTTTGTAATACGTACACACAATCGCCTTATTAGAAAGGTTGTTAACTAAATTAGAACTCGATTGAGAATAAACACGGGTCGGGTCAAAAACGTAAATCATATAAACACTCTCCCCATGTAACTATTAAAGACTCTTCCAATCTCTTAATAATGTCATTTAATTGATTAATTAATTAATTACAAGAGCATTTCAAACACTTGAGAAGTTTAAATTGAATAAAAATTCAGGAGAAAAATGTTTTATTAGGAGAGGACCTTTCAAAATTGTCCCTTTCTTGTGATAAGGCAGCCACTAGCTTAGTCCACCAGCTAGCTAAGCAGTAAGCAGTATATATAGTGACAAGAAAATGAGAAATTGTAGGGTGTCTAGTGTCTCAATTTTCCAATTGCCACTTCTCTCCTCTTTTAAGTATCCCTTCACTCGTCCTTTTTCCCCCCTTTCCTCTCAACGACATATAACAACTAACCCTTCTTTTACCACTTCACTCTCTACTCATCTCTATCACCAAATCAACTAGAGATCCCCAAGTAGAAGGTCGAAACATTTGTATCAAGGGTCGGCTTGTGTAAGAGAGCGCGAGGGGGGAACTAAAGACCACGATATATATAAAAATATACGTAAAATACATATTGGAAATTCAACCTTTTTTTTATATATATATATATCTTTCTCAGGACGTAATAGAAAAGATTGATTGGCTAATTCTGTAAATTAAGGTTAAGAACATAACCACAATACATTATTATTGTTATTATTATCATAACGTATTAACAATCACGTTATAATTTTTGAAACACTATTTTTGTAAGGGAAGAATTAGCTCGTTCTTATCAACCGAAGCTAGTTCGCTTTCTTTATTACTTACTAGTCCTTAAGGCACCAACGTAACATCAACACATATATTTTATATTTGTTCGGTTTTAAGCAAGCACTTAGCAGCCTGGAAACTATCACTCCTAACCATAGCCAACCTATGGAAAACCACAAGCAAAACACCTCCCAAGCTCCTCTCCTTCCCTACCACCACTCGCCGCAATCTTCCCGGCTCAAAATCTCCGAGGTTAGTACTATAATTAATAATGTTGCAAACATATGTATATTATTTGTTACAAAAATTGTATGATCTAACTGTTATATTATTATTAATGTGTATACAGGTGGTAATTGAGGTGAGACAACTCTACAACATAGCTTTTCCATTGATTTTAAGCAGTCTACTTACCTACGGCAAGTCAGCCATTTCAATGGCCTTCATGGGGCATCTAGGAAAGGAGGCTTTAGCCGGTGGTGCGCTCGCTATCGGCTTTGCAAACATCACCGGCTACTCGATCCTATCCGGGTTAGCCATGGGCATGGACGCCATCTCCTCCCAAGCCTTTGGTGCCAAACAATGGACTCTAATGGGTCATACTCTTCAACGTACAATTGTCATCTTATGCCTTTGTTGCCTTCCAATCTCATTTCTTTGGCTCAATCTTAAGCCTATCCTCGTCTTACTCGGTCAAGATCCGGCTATTAGCTCTGTCGCCGCCACCTACCTCGCTTACTGCCTCCCGGACTTGTTCTTCATGGCTTTGATCAACCCTATAAAAATCTATCTTCGGTCACAAAAGGTGACACGTCCTCTTGTGGTTAGCGCGGGGGTAGCTTTGTCATTTCACTTTCCTGTGAACTATGTCATGGTTAGCTACCTAGGCCTCGGAATTCGAGGGGTGGCCATTTCCACGGCGATCATGGACCTCAACATACTATTAGTCATGGTGGTTTATATCATGATTACTGGGACCCACAAGAAGACTTGGCAAGGTTGGTCTTTTGAATGTTTCTATGGTTGGTCTACTATTCTTTCTTTAGCTATTCCAAATTGTATTTCGGTATGTTTGGAATGGTGGTGGTACGAACTCATGATTGTTATGTCCGGTCTACTGCCTAATGCCGCGGATGCTGTTGCCACCATGGGGCTACTAATCCAAGCCACTTCGCTTATCTACATTTTCCCGTCTTCTCTTAGCCTCGCGGTGTCTACTAGGGTTGGTAACGAGCTTGGTGCTGGCCAACCAAATAAGGCAAGGACCTCATCTAACATATCATTGTGTTGTGCAATTTTTACTAGTGTACTTGCCTTGGCCTTTTCTGTGACAATGAGGAACTTTTGGGGAAGGGCATTTACGTCCGACGAGGCGGTCATTGCCCTCACCGCGGCAGCCATGCCGATCTTGGGGTTGTGTGAGCTTGGAAACTGCCCACAAACAACCATGTGTGGGGTGCTCCGGGGTAGTGCTAGACCTAAACTTGGAGCTAATATCAATTTAGGGTCATTTTATGGAGTTGGGCTTCCAGTTGCTATTGCATTGAGTTTTTTCATGAATATGGGCCTATTGGGCCTTTGGGTGGGCCTTCTTGCAGCCCAAGTAGCCTGCTCACTTTTCATGGCAATCATGTTGGTAAGAACTGATTGGGCCTATGAAGCCCAACGGGCCAAAGAACTCACTGGTGGTTCCAATTTTGAAGAATCAGATGAAAAAGAAGAAAATGATGATCTTGAATCACAATTCTTGAAGAAAGAAAATGATGAAGATGTTCAAGCACCATTGATGATTAAAAATGAAACTGTCCAATAATATTTTTGGTTTTTATTTTTCATTTTTTTGGGGTACATAATTTAGTACTAGTTAAAGAGAAAAAGGTTTTTGTGAGCTGGATAATTTTGGCCTTGTGCCTAGTTTCGGCATTTTTGGTTTCTTTGAGTTTTATTATTTTTGGGAGGGGGTACCAAAAAAGATATATGTACATATTGATTAATGGAGATACCATCTTTCTATATTGTCAAGTTTTTCTATGTTTATGCACACTCTCCTTACTTGCTAGGCAAAGAAGATAAAATGGAAAAGTGATCATCTAATAGTGCAATAATGTGATGCATAATTATCATTATTTCACCAACTATTATAGGTTTATATGTATTACTCATAAATGAGGTGATGGATGTACTTCACCCAACCTTTATTTGTTCTATAATAAAAGGGACAAATTTTTGTGATTTTAAAAAGGCTGGTTTCCTATCTTCTAAACACTTCGCGTCGCAGCTGTTTAATTTTTTAAGGGTTGTTGACGCAGTGTCTTATGCAATTACTTATCAAGCCTGTAATAGATAAGACAAAATATCATTTCAAACTATATTATATAACGTGGTTTCCTAATCGAATTATAAAGAATAATAAATACATAATGATCGAATAGAGATATTAACATGTGCATCTAGTGTATTATTGTGTTATGCCAAATTTCTCAAACTTAGTGAGGTTGGTATTTTATTTTTTATTTCTAACATTTTTTCAAAATATATGTCTTAATTTATGTTATATATATTATACAAGATACTTAAAACAACTTTTTTATTTTATTTTATTTTATTTTATTAATGTCTATGTTTCATCTATGATTCTATGCTCTATAGTTTGTACCATGCCCCCCTTTAATTTGGCCCATAGAATATTAAATAATACTCTTATGCAAATAATAACGGACATATGCATAAGAATATAATTTGTAGCACTATAGGAAATTTTATAATTTGAGTTGGTTGAGAAATCGATGAGAACTTAGCAAAGGGACTAAATAAACGAAAGATCAAAGTGGCAAAATGTTCTTATCTTTAAAATTTTACGTTGCAAGTTGATGGGTGAAGCCTTTTTTAGCCTCTAATTAATTGAATACTTTTTCCATTTGTAAGGAGCAATATATTGACTTTAATGAGCCCCGTTCAACAACTAAACTTTTTTCTTTTATCTTAGTAATAATACTATCATCAACTAAAATAATACTAGTACTTTGTACTACTTTAGAATTCAATCTACGAGTTGGCAAAAGAGTAATTCTAAGCATTATCTGTATGCATTTTTGGAAGAGGGAGAGGCCGAAACCTCCAAATGTTCTCAAAAAGCGTGAATATTAGCCTTTAATTTTGGAATTTTTTCAACTTTTTTTCACCTGGAAATAAAATTGCCGAAAAGTTTACCATGGTCCCTAATACCCTCAGGAAGTCCAATCGCCTGGGTGGAACCATCCAATTTGCCTTTAAACGACCAATTTACCAATTTACAACTTGCACCCATTTCATTAACTCAAGCCTAACAAGAACATTTATGACAACATATAATGATCATATATGGTTCCGAACGACATTATATGACCCCGAAATGTATCCCCTAAAATCTCAATGCTTTTCGACATCGGACCCGAAAACATTCGAAATTTCTAAAAAAAGTGGATATTAGCTTTCAATTTTGGAATTTTTTTTTAACTTTTTTTCACTCGGATATAAAAATTACTGAAATGTTTACCATGTTACCTAATATCCTCCGGGGGTCCAATTGGGTGGGTGCAACCATCCAATTTGCCTTTTTAAACGACCAATTTACCGATTTACAAATTGCACCGATATCATAGTTCAAGCCTACCATGAACATTTATGAAAACAAATAATGATAGTATATGGTTCCAAACGGCATTATATGACCCCGAGATATATCCCCTAGAATTTCAAGACTTTTCGACACAGGACCCCCAAACCTCCAAAATTTTTCAAAAAGTGTTGATATTAGAATTCAATTTTGGAATTTTTTGACTTTTTTCGCCTGGAAAAAAAAAATTGCCGAAATTTTTACCATGGTCACAAATACCATCTGGGAGTCCAATTGGGTGGGTGGAACCATCCAATTTGCCTTTAAACAACAAAATTACCGATTTACAACTTGCACCAATTTCATTAATTCAAGCCTACCACGAACATTTATGACAACATATAATGATCATATATGGTTCCAAACAACATTATATGACCCCGAGTTGTATCCCTTAAAATCTCAAGCCTTTTAGACACCGGGCCCTGAAGCCTCCAAAATTTCTCAAAAAGCGTGGTTATTAGCCTTTAATTTTGGAATTTTTTGACTTTTTTGCCCGAAAATAAAAATTGCCAAAATTTTTACCATGGTCCCTAGTACCCTCCGGGAGTCCAAATGGGTGGGTGGAACCATTCAATTTGCCTTTAAATAGCCAATTTACCGGTTTATAACTTACACCAATTTCATTAACTAAAGCCTACCACGAACATTTATGATAACATATAATGATCATTTATTGTTCCAAACAGCATTATATGACCCCGAAATTTATCCCCTAAAATCTCATTTCTTTTTGACACCGGCCCCTGAAACCTTCGAAATTTCTCAAAAAGCATGGATATAAGCCTTCAATTTTGGAATTTTTTTACTTTTCTTCGCACGGAAATAAAATTTAAAAAACTGTTTACCATGGTCCCTAATACCCCCCGGGAGTCCAATTGGGTGGGTGGAACCATCCAATTTGCCTTTAAACGACATATTTACCGGTTTACAACTTGTACCGACTTCATTAACTCAAGCCTACCATGAACATTTATGACAACAAATGTAACACCCCAATAATTCTCCCTTTTCCAAACCACTTACTTTAAATAAAAATAGAGGAGAACCATTGGCATGTTACCGCCACGTGTTAAAACGTTAAGGCTTTATCAAAGTATTGCAGCGGAAATCCAACTTAAATCTTAAAATAATTTAATTTGGAAAACCAATAAGTCAAAGCTTACAAATTGGAACCATAAAGGCCCTTATTTAAAACCAAACCAATAATCAAAGTCCCAAAACATAATTAAAGTAGTAAAACATAAATAAATTCAACACAAAGAACGAATACTCTCAATCACACCAATCCCTTGACAATGCGTATGTCAAATCACCGAACTTCACATCATCAAGCTAATCTGTGCAATACTGCTCCCCAATAATACAAGTGTAATAATTGGATCATCACAGGTCATTGAAAGGCGAAGACCATGACTAAAAGAAAACACACAAAAGCACGCAATCAGCAAAGCTGAGTACATACAAGCTACAACGCACAAAACCTGACATGCTCAATAATTAAAGTAAATAAACATACTACTTTAATTCATTAATCAAGACTCCACACTTAAACAATTCAATTGACTCAACATACTTTCTAACCAATTCTAAACACTCGACTCTTTGTATTTAATTATTTTTTTTGAAGACCACTCTTTATATTTAATTTAATTAATTTAGTTTGGAGTAAGCAATAGACGAGGTTGTCCAATCCACCAAATTATTTTGGTCCCAAAAGACCATTTTAAATAAAATTTTAGCGCGATGCAAGAAAGGGCGCGACTCCATTCTCACAAAGTTAGTCTAGGATCCCATCTAACTTTCATTATAAAATAAAATGTAAATACCAAAATAGAAGAGGACATGTTGATCAAACAAGCCTCGGAAAGCCACGGGCTACCACCGTGTACCCCAACCCATAATTGTCAATACTCTAGAAGTGCACGCTTTCTAGAGTTTTATTGCTCATCCATGTTTCACTTTACGTGATTACAATTTTAATTAATAGCCGACTCAATCCAATAGACCATACATAAAAATCATACATCAATTTACTTTTAATCTTATTTAGGACAATGGTGATCACATCACAAATTGACCTTTAATTTCATTAAACTTCTAAATTATCCAAATTGTTGAACATAGTCAACTTACCTAGCCATTTCGGCTTAATCCACCTTTACTCAACATACTAACAAGTCATGATTAAGTAATAAAATAAATAAAAACCTTGTGGAATAATTAATAAATTCATTCCACTTAAACCATTCAATTTCAATCCTTTAATAATCCAAATGTGGTTAACAAACCAATCTAATAAAAATATGCTTGTATCAACATTCCATACAAACAATTAATCCAATATAATTCAACATGTTTGCATCCATAATCCCATACAAACATAATCAATTCACCAAAACATGTCTCATAAACATAAACACATGAATTAATTAAATGTATAACCAAACAATTTTCATCCAAGTATTCTCTAATCATGAAACTAAGTTCTTTTATTTGGTACCTAAACATGATACTACTTACAACGAAGTAGACATGTACGTACCTCGTATAAACAATCCTTTGTGCCACTTTTAATCAATTAAAAGTCTCCTAGGGAATAATCACTTCCTAGAAAACAACCAATAATCACAAATTAATACTTAACCAAATTTCCAGCAATATAATTTAGATTAAAACTCCTTAAAACTTCATTAAAAACATGTTTTTATGCTTAATTAATTATTAGAAATACAATAGGAACAAAAACCCCAAATTAATTGATCATAAGAACCCTAAAATCCCAATTTAAACAAATTGAAACCCTATGTTTCATAATTACAAAATCTGAAAAATTATACCAACATCAATAATCTGAAAATATCAATTTAAACACCCAAAATATAATTTTTCATACTAATAAAACTAATTTCAAACAATAAAATCAAAACCCAAAACAATTAAATCAATTCTAAGCAAAACTAAAAAAAAAAAAAAAAAAACAAAGGAGGAAAGGAGGAAAGGGGAGTGGGCCACGGCTGGGCCGCTGGTGGGTCGCCGGTGTCATGTGGCCGGCGGTGGTGAGGGGCGCCGGTGGTGGCTGGGCGGCATAAGGGCGGCAACAATGGTGGTGAGTGTGAGTGAAACTCACGTAAGGAGGAGAAAGAAGAAAGAAAAGGAAAGAAAAGAAAATAAAAGGAAAAAGAAAAATAAAAGGAAAATAAGAAAATAAAATAAAGAGGAGAGATAATAAGACTAACCTTTAGTGTGGGAAAAATTTTGGGGATGTATGGGGTATTTATAGGAGAGAGAGTGGTGTAGGGCAAGTTGTAAGATTGGGCCTCATAAAATTAATGGGTCAATTAAATATGTAAAGTGAGATTGGCTT